ATCAAATAATTACTGTGTTTCGAAATATATATTCCGACATAAATAATGCCATCGCGAAGTCAGATCATTTCTATGATATCTTTTGCTAATTTAATCAACTATTGTGCTCTGGTTACCTTTGCATCCTTCAATATTTTTTAACTTTTTATGTATCCAGAGGGCTTTCTGGAAATCTCATCTGCTCTTAGTCATGATTATGTTTCTTTCAATGGTTATACAGTCCAATTTGCTTTCATTTCAGCTTAACTATATTTGAAGGTATGAAGACCAAGATGGTGTGCCCTTTTGTGAGGTCGCAGTCTCCTTTCGTTGTACAGAAGTTAATTGACCTTGTTTCCACAACTCGCTCATATTGGTAGGAAGACTTAGAGGAACGCACCTAGTCCGGAGTCCGTTGTATGCATCATAATTTCCAGAGTAGGACCGTGGACGTGGTACATTCCCAGACGTTTTACCTGCATCGTCAGTGAGTTTTCCCACTCGTAGCACAATATTACAACTTGTCAAAGAGACAAGTGAAGCCGATCCTTTTATCAAACGTGCTAAACAGTTGTGGTATCTCCCCTTCTGCCCTGGCCTATTCACACTTCCTATATCCTCCTATCACACCTTCACTGTCACCATTTTTACTTGCTTAGGCCGGTGTACGGTGTGCCCTTTTGGGCGGCTTTCAGGAGAACCCCCCGCACTCCACGCTGACCTTCTCAACCCCCTTCATCCTTGTGCCCGGAATGTCGATCAGAGTCTGCCATATTGTTATGCTTTTCTCCTTCCATAGGCCTTACCAGAGTCTCTCTCTTGCCCCGTAAGATCCGTCCGCCCTCCCTCTGGTTCACATATTTCACTCGACCCCTGCTACCTCATCTGTGCCACTCGAGGCGTTATTGGCCCTACTCTGCGTCTTGGGGCTAGTTCGAGGCTAAAGCCTCTAAGTAAGTCTCATGGTCATGCCTTTGCCATATGAACCACGTCTCTTATGCAACCTACTATCAGCCCACTAGCTCCAGTCTCTGCCGCGTCTATCCTGTTTCTATCTCTAATACCAAGCCTATGACTTCTTATGCCCTAGTCTCTTGTGTGCCAATCCACAAACGTTGTGGTTCAACATTGAACCTAGTCAAAGCAAAAAGTATTACAACACTTGTGGGTTGGCCCACCAAAAACTAGGGCATGGGAAGTCATAGACTTGATATTAGAGATAAAGACAGGATAAACGTGGCGGCGATGGGAGCTAGTGAGCTGACAGTAGGTTCTACCAGAGACGTGGTCAATGTGGCAAAAACATGACCATGAGACTTACTCAGAGGCTTGAGCCTCGAATTAATCATCAAGACGCAGTGGAGGGTGAATAACGCCTCGAGTGGCACAGAATTGGGTGGCAGGGTTCGAGTGAAATATGTGAACCAGGGAGAGGGCAGACGGATCTTACGGGGCATAATATAGACTGTGTTAAGACGTAGGGAAGATGGACTGCGTAACAATATGGCAGACTTTGATGAACATCCCCAGCAAAATGGTGAAGGGAGGTAAGAAGGCCAGCGTGGAGTGCGGAGGGTTCTCATGAAAGCCTCTCAAAAGGGCACCCCGTACTACATTTAATTTGCGAGTAAAAAATTGTGACGGTGAAGGCTTGATAGGAGGAAATAGAAAACGTGACTAGGCCAGGGCAGAAGGGGAGATACCACAACTGTTTACCACACGTTTGGTCAAACGATCGACTTCACTAGTCTCTTTTGACGAGTTGTAACATGGTGCTACGAATGGCAAAACTCACTGACAATGCAAGCGAAAAGTATGGGAATGTACCACGTCCACGGTCCTACTTTGAAAATGATGATGCATACAATGATCTCCGGACAAGGTGCGTTGCTCTAAGTCTTCCTACCAATATGATCGAATTGCGAAAACAAGGTCAAACAACTTCTATATTTGATGTTTGGGGTTACTTTTTAAGACCTTCACAGTTTATCCCTTGACTAATCGTTGAGTATTATTTAATAAAAAGCAAAATCTTTTCAATCTGTTAATTTAATTGATTTTTCTTTTTCATTCGGCTTGATGAATTACTATGATAATTTCATTTATTTACATATTTATAGTCTATATTTCTGTTCTCCTCATTTACTAATGTGTTTTTTCGTTTTTATATCTTTCTCTCTAGAGAGATAAACAATCCGACATTTCATTGGCTCTTTTTCCCGCTTCAAATTCGGGAATCGCACCCATCCAATCATCCGGATTTCTACCTTGTGCTGACCCACATCGGATCCCAGATAAGGTCGCTCTCGAATTATATAGTCATGCTCATCTGTCCTCACAAGTAGCCAAGCCTAGCAAGCGTCGAGGTCGACCTCCTACATGGTCTTCTCAGATCAGTTTAACAGATGACCATTCACGGGCAACCAGGTACTGCCGGCGACGGGGCAGGCCTCCAATGTGGTCTCGGCAGATCAACTTACAAGGCGATCATGAGTCGTCTCAAATGTTTCTTTCCTATGACAAGGAACATAAAGGTCACGACTCAGAGATTTGTCAGTCTAGACGGACACCCTTTGGTGAAAATGTCTGTGAGGTCCAAGCTCAATTACTTTCAACAGAGAAGATTGGTGGGGGTATTCAGGTTTTGAATCTTACTCACATGGTCACTCAAGAAAGAGAGGAAGATGATGTTTATCAAAATGACGTTTCTGGCAATCGTTTTTACGCTTGCCATCTATGCGACTTTATAAGACCGCGAGGTAAGATGATCTGATGATTTATCTGAGCAATACTGTTTATTATCATAGATATAAATATTCAAGGAATTAAGGAGCGGATAAGAGAGATAAAGATTAATAACAGAATTAAGAATGTGAGCATTAGAGACAGAATTTATTTTGTGCCTTATATTATAGCTAATTGCACATAAATTAAGAATGTCCTAATGATAATTACGTAAAAAACTAGGCTTTAATTAAATCTAGCTGATTAAGATTTTCCCTAGCACAGAATCTTGGGGCAGTGAATGAAAATCACTAAAAAGAATGTAATTACGACAACACAAAATGAGAATTTTTTTCAGAAGAACTTATTCTACCTGTCTGTCCTAAATTGAGTTTTACATATATGCTTATAGTCAGAGTTAGGTCTGCATTGATAGGAAACAGGGAATACCGCCGAGAACGATGGGAAGGCTAGTTTAGTCTCGGAGCTGGCCAGGGCTACTGCACTTGACACGAGTACTCGTTCGCATGTGCAAACGAGTAGAATTACTTGCATCTCCTTTGCAGTGACAAAATACAGGTAAGTTAGGTGAGGATACAGCCGTCCAGCAACAACCTCATTCCCACGTCATAAATTATCCAACCAGATCATGGACAACGTCTTTAAATCGGGTTGGTTCTTCCAGGAAGTTTCCTATAAATGTCATTTTATGTTCTTACTACTGAATTCGCGTTGACATACTCCCTCTTAAAACCTATTTACTGCAAGAACAAGATAAGATATATGTGAAGACTTTTAATTCATCGCATCAATCTTATATCAAGAGATCCCTCGAAACCCGCATTATCTTCGTATATACAAGAACAGGATAAGATTTACATAATGAAATTCAGTGCTTAACTGAATTGAAATGTCAATCGAGATTTCCCAAACGCAAGCTTATAAGGTTCAAGAATCATTTAAGAGTTTCGTTCTATCACCTTGGTTATATCAACTTACTTCTTTGTGTAGAAGATGTTTGAACTTGTTTTTGCAACTTGGTCATATTGGTAGGAAGACTTAGAGTAACGGAGTCCGGAGTTCATTGTATGCATAATGATTTCCAACGTCGGACCGTGGACGTCGTACATTCCCAGACGTTTCGCCGGCATCATAGTCTGCATCGTCAGTGAGTTTTGCCATTCTTAGCACTATACTACAACTCGTCAAAGAGATAAGTGAAGCTGATCATTTGATCAAAGGTGTGCTAAATAGTTATGGTATCTCTTCTTCTGTCATGTGCTATTCACTTCTCATATATCCTCGTATCACACCCTCCTATCACAGGAGTTTCTTTGCTTATTTAAATCTAGTTTGGCGTGCCCTTTTGAGCGGCTTTTATGAGAACCTTCCTTATCGCTTGTGTGCCAACCCACACTTGTTGTGGTACTGTTTACTTTGATTGTTGAACCACAACATTGAACCTAATCCAAGCAAGCAGTACCACAACATTTGTGGATTGGCACACGGGAGACTAAGGCATAGCAAGTCATATACTTGGTATTACGGATATAAACAAGTTAGACGCGCTGGAGACTAGAGCTAGTTGGCTAACAATAGACGCGATTCATGGACCACATCTATAATCAAACGCGCCTACCATTAGCCAAATAGCTCTAGTCTCCATTGCATCTATCCTGTTTCTGTCCATAATACCATGCCTATCATTTCCTATGTCATAGTCTCTTGTGTGCTAATCCACAAACGTTGTGGTTTATCATTAAACCTAATCAAAGGTAATAGTACCACAACATTTGTGGGTTGGCACACAAGCGAC